CTAACCTGGGCAGACTTCACTTAACTGAGTTCCAAGAGCTGTTGGGCCAGTGCACTGAGTTGCAGAAGCACCTGAGGTCAACACCCCACAAAGCACAATCGCAGAGATGAACGGCAGTGTATCTGGGGGAGGCTGCAGAGCAGCAGGTGTGCCATAACCATCAGGGCCACGCGGATAAAAGAGGAGTGGTCCAAATCTGAGCTTTGATTCAGCGACGTGCCTTAACCATGATGCCTTGGCTTTTCCTTCTGAGAAAAAGTGCCATCTACCCAGCCACCTCTCACTTCGCTGTGCACAGTACCGGGGTCCGCTGGCTTGGAGCCTCCACTCCGGGGAGCGTACTGCGGTCGTGAAGTGACTCCAGGACCAGGACAGCGGGTCCCCGGTGTGGCTCTAGGTAGCACTGCCCGAGCGGGGCGGGGCGGGGCCGGGCCCACGGGGAAGGACAGCCCGCCCCCGCCCCCGCCCCGCTGCCGGACGCCGGCGGGAATCCGCTCCGGCGCGGGTGGCGGGGGTGCGACCCGGGCCGCCCCTGGGAGGGGACGCGAGGCCGGACAGGGCGGGGCGGAGCGCGCCTCAGGTGCGGGGAGGCGGCCTCAAGCTCGGGCCTGGCAGGACCGGGCCGCGCGAGGGCAAGACCTCGAGCAGCTCGCGACCGGTTTCGGCCAAAGATGGCCCAGGGCCACGTTGCCCCTCCCCCTCCTCGCCTTTCCGTCTCCTCCGGCTGCTCCCAGGGCGGCGGCGGCGCCGGGGCTCCGGGAGGGCGCGCGGGAGCCGGGTGCGGGAGAGGACCGCCCACCCCGCCGCCCGCGGGAGGCTCTCTTCGTTGAGAAAGAGGGCTCTGCCACTTTAAGGTGAGGAGTGGGCGTCGCCTCTGGCCGGGTGACGGGCCGGGAAGGGGACCTGGCGGGCGGGTCCAGGCAAACCAGGAGGCGGTGCCGGTCGGGCGGTCCGTAGTAAAACGTCGGGGGCGGAGAGGGTGGAGGCGGCGAGGCGGCTGGGGGGCGGGGCCGGGGCGGGGCTTCAGCGGGAGGGAGGAGGGGTGGAGGCGGCGGGGCGGCTGGGGGGCGGGGCGGGGGCGGGGCCTCCGCGGGAGGGCGGGAGGGTTTGAGTCGGCGAGGCGGCTGGGGGGCGGGGCGGGGGCGGGGCCTCCGCGGGAGGGCGGGGGGAAGAGCGAGCGGCCGGTTGGTACCATCGCGCGCGCTCCGGGAGGGGCGCCGGGGACATTCCCCGGAGGGGGCGGCCCTGCGCGGCGCGGGGCGGGGCGGCCCCTTCCCCCGCCGGGCGGGAGGTCGGGCCGGGGAGGGGCTGCGGCGCCCGCGTCCGAGGCGGGGCCGGCCGTCCCCTCGGCGGCGCGGCGCGGCTGGGGGAGGGCCGAGGGGAGGGAGGAGGCGGTCCCGGGCGGGGGAGCCGGAAAGGGGGAGGCGCCGGCGGACAATGGAGCCTATGTGTGCCCGCGGGAGGGGGACGGCGCCGCCGCCGCCGGGGGGAGACGCCGCGCCGCCGCTGCCGCCGGCCCCGGCCCCCCGGGGCTGAGAGCCGCGCCCCGCCCGCCGCCGCCCGCGCCCCCGCCCGCCTCAGGGTGAGTGGCCCCGGGGAGGGAGGCGGGCGGGGCGCGGGGTCGGGCTGCGGCCCGGGGCCGGGCGGGCGCCCGCGGGGGTGCGCCGGGCCGAGCGGGCCGCGGGGCCGGGGAGGCCACGGGAGCGCCCGCGGGGCCGGGGACGCGGGGCGGAGCGCGGCCGCGGCCGAGGCGGGAACCCGCGGACCCGGAGCGTGCGGCGCAGGAGAGTTCGCGGGCCGCGGCGGCGGGCGGCGGGCGGCGGGCGGGTGCCGAGGGGCGGGCCGGCAGGTGAGGTCGCGGCGCCCCGGGCGCCCGCAGCGGAGCGGCCGCCGCCTTCCAAAGTTGCCGCGACTGCTAAGATGTCACCGGTGAGTGTTGGTGGGACGGGGAGGTGGAGACGTCCCGAGGAAAGCACGGCGGGGCCGGCCATCCTGTCCCCAGGGGAGGGCCCCGGCTGTGACAGTAGGGCTGGGGGCCTTCTGAGGAGGCCACCGAGCCTCCAGGAGGAGGCCCTAACCCCCTCCCGGAGCCTGGGCTTGGGGAGCTAGGGAAGAACGGTGTAAGGGGCCGAGCCCAGGGCAGCCCCGGGGCCAGGGAAGTTACCAGACCCGCGGGCAGGGGACCCGGGGACCAGGGGACCAGAGCCTCAGCGGAGTCTCCAGGGTGAGCCAGCAGCGACGCCAGTCACCTGGGTTAGGGGGACCCAGGTGCTTCCCTGGGAAAAGGAATGAGGGGCTTAGAAGCCACATTTTGGTCAGTGTTACGTGATGAAGTATTTGTTAGCATTTGATTTATTAAGGAATTAAATGTTAGTTTGTTGCACCAGGAATTGAACGCAGGGGTACTCAACTACTGAGTCACATCCCCAGCCCTTTTTTATTTTTTATTTTAAGACACGGTCTCAATAAGTTGCTGAGGGCCTCAGTGAGTTGCTGAGGCTGGCTTTGAACTTTAGATCCTCCTGCCTCAGCCTCCTGAGCTGGGATTTACAGGCACCCACCACCATGCCAGGCTAAATGTTTGCTCTTGAGGCAGAGATTTGGGTTCTTGTGCACTGAGCACAAAGTGATAAATCAGAATTAGCAGACAGAAAGTGTAAGTTGTGAAATAGTTGAAAGGTGGAAGGAGGGGACAAAAGAATGTTAGATAGTAAGACTTAGTGTGTTTAGAACCTGTGATTGTGGAGACAGTGCAACATGATTGTTTGATTCCCAGTGACTGGGAAGTTTAGCAAGGAAGAAATATTTGTGTATATAAACGAAATGCTCCTAAATAAAAATTTTAAGACAGTCCTCTTTATTTACTGCTGAAAAAGACCCAGACTATTAGAGGGGTAAATAAAAGGAGCTGTTAGTTAACTGGTGGTTCCATTAATTGTTTGATGGTTGGATAAGAAGAGAAAATCTAAAGTTTTAGAAAAGTTCAGAGAGTGGGGTGTGTGTGTGACATTTGGTAGTTTTATGACCTAGAGATTTGGTATTGAACCATTAGCATGTTCTTTTGTAATAACTGTACTGAATTTACGGTAATAATAGGATAGACAGACATGGAGGTCATTGGCTAAAAGATGAAATTACAGTTTTCATGTAGTTCTCTTTTTATAAGGCAAGTAGTACATAACTGGCCCTTGTACAAACCATTCTTGGATGTTTAGATGACTAGCAAGAAGCAAAAAGTACTTGTATACATTGAAATTTATTGTATGAGATGTTTCCCCCTTAGCCTTCAGAAGTGTCTGCTCTTGTAAATCAAAAGAAAATACTCTGGGTTTGTGGGAGAAAAAAGAGAGATTTCACAAGCATGTAATCAACTAAATATTTGATCCTGGTGGCTTGGATCAGTGGTTAAAGCTCTCCAGTTGCCTTATGGTGACTTTTAACAAATCTCCTGTTATTCTCCCATCTATGAAGTGGTAATGCTACCTGCTTTAACCACACATAACTGCATTTCAGCCTATCAAGTTAATGCTTATCTGCGAAGTACTTTGAACACCTCTGAGAATGAGGTTATGTAGTCTTAACTTTTTCTCACCTCTACAAAATTACCATCTCACTAGCACACTAAATTCAGCTGTTGTAACAATTATAGCAACAAGCTTATCAAGCTGTCTTGTTCTGTTTGAGTTTTGGTTTTATATTAATTTTGAAAGGTACTACCTCTGTCCATTTAGTGGCAAGATAGGAATACTGATGAAAATTGCAGAAATGTAAGCAAAGGTCACCAAGAGAGGATGGAAAGATAGATGCTGTGAGTACTCACCTAGGCTTTGCTAACTCTGTGTACATGTAGCCTTGAATTTGTTTCTCTGCTTCCTGGCAGTTTAGTTTTCTCCAGCTATGAAATAGTGTGGTGGGATGACTTAGCTTCTGTCCGCCTCGGGGAATATGATGTTGAGTCTGTAGAAACTTTATTTGCTTTAGATTGGGGGTTCTTAACTGTTATATTCCATGTACCCCTTTAGCAATTTAACAAAGGGCCCCTTCTGAAAATATTTTTTAAATGCACAAAATAAAATGCATAGAATTGCTTATGAAATGTAAACAGTTATCAAAATGTTAATTGTGGCATAGTGATGTATGTTCTTCTTTATAACACACTGAATAATAAAATGTAGCCTCAGGTTTAATTATACTATAATTTTGAAGTAAGAATGACTGTACTAAGTTATGTTAGGGTATCTACAACAACTATAATGTTGACATGAAAATGTCTTGAGGTTATTTTGGTAACAGTCACAGGATTGCTAATACTTTTATGAATTATTATAACTATAACCACAGTTGAAGTTTTTCCCAAAAAGTCCATAGACGCACCTCCTCCCTGAAGTCTCTCCACAGAAGCCTTGGGAGTCAGTGATTCCCAGGTTGGGGAATGCCTGCTGCAGACCAGTGGATTTTGTTTTTTTCCTAGACAAAGCAATTTGGGGAAGTTAAATTATCATTTCTTATGGACACCTGCCTTTTAGGCTTTGTGATATCTTTCAGTATCTCTACCACTTGAAAAACAGGGACATATGAAATAAAAGTCCATTTTACAACCTATGGTGGCTATTCTTGACTGTGGAAAAAGTTAAAAACAATAATTCATATGAAATTTTTGTGTCTGGTGGATTTTGCTCTATAAGCTCTCAGTTACCTGTTAATCATAACTGTTCCCCAGCCTGGGCTAGATTTGGGCTGCAGGGTATGTATCTCCAACTTGTATTTTGAGTTCTAGTGGGTTTTGCCTTCCTTTCCCATTTTTGACCAGGGTACTTTTTAATTGCCTTTTCCAGATATTGCTTTGACCACAGAAAATTGTGGAATGGGTGGTTTTCTTTGGAATCAGTATGAACTTGGGTATAAACTTTAACTTTCATCTTGTCCTTGTAGGACTGAATGTGGGACTAGGTAGTGTCCTTCCACTTTCATTTAAAAATTTCCTTCTGTTTGGGTGGCAGAGATCATTCTCAGAAAGCTCTTGTGTCCTGATGTAGAAGAAGAGAGCAAATTGGACACCTTGAAAGGTAAAGAACTTGGTAATAAGCCCATAACTTCTGGGATTCGGTCTGCATTTTGGGGGGTTTTTGTTTTTGTATCCATAGGGTTGCTTCTAAGCTAAATTGTATTGGTTCATTATTCTAGCAGTTCCTAAGGTAAAAGTCATCAAATAAATGCAAGTCAAAACTACAAATGCAGTTACCTTATACTTTTCTGTGAGCAGGGACTGAGTGTAAGTCACTTCAGAAGACTGAGGAGTAAGACAGGTGGTAGGGTGTTGAACAGGCATTTACCCTGTCACCTTTGGTTTCTAGAAACGCAAGGTGAAGGTGGCAGTGCTCAATCCCATTATGATGCATGCGTCAACCCGCTTTTATTGAGTTTCTCCTGGGTGTCAGGTGCTGAGGTGATGAAAGCATGGTCCTCAGGGAGTCCCCTGTCTATATATAACAGTGCCACAGTTTTATAGGTGTTATAGTAGTGTTAATACAATGCTGTGTGGCCATAGAGGACATAAGGGGGATAGTTGGCAATCTAGGAGAATTTCACAGAGAAGGGAAATTTATTCTGAAATACTACTTTGGGTAGCCATTATTCTAAATGATTCAAATCAAGTAGTTGAAATTCATTTTTAAGTGCTTGAATGTTGTTGAGATTCTTCAGTTTAATATGAATTTTTCTTTCTTTGAAAGTTTGCTAGTTATTGAAGGTCAGTAGATACATTTTACCTCATAAGAACTAAAACATACATTGATATTTTATGTGGGCCAAGGTCTATACATACCCTATGTAGAGTTTACTTTCCTCCGCAGTCTTCCTGCTGGTGGGGAAAGATTGGTTTTTCCTATTGTGTACTTTTGCTGAGAAGAAGCCTTTTATTAGTTGGCATGCCACAAGTTAAGAATGAGCTCGGAATGGAATCCTGAGGCCTTTTAGTTCCACATTCTAAGTTTGATACTCTGCCTTTTATGGAGTAGTGGTCATAGCATAGAAATGAAATTTGTTAAACATGACATAGTTCTAATAAACTTAGAATAGGAAAGTAGGAAAGCATCATTGTCAGAGCTGAAATTGGAATTTTAGAGGTGATTCTGAGCTTGGTCAAATTTATTTGTGAATTTACCTAAAACTTTACATCAACCCTATAGAGTCTCCTTTTAAAAATTCTGAATAATTTGGCCGTAAGACAGTCTGGAACTGTTCTTCCTTGCAATTTCAGAACTATAAGTTTTGGGCAAAGGCGGGGGCTCAGTGTCATAACTCTAGTATATGAGGACTAATATTGAAAATAGTTGTACTTGACCAGTATTTGTTCTGGCTTAATGTTAAGCATTTTGCACATAGTAGGGGTTGAATAAAAGGAGATCACATGGCCAGGTTGCTCAGCCCTAAGTTCCTTCCAAAGTATATGAAAATACATTTTCTTGCTGGATGCTTGCCCTGTAGAGATACAGTTGAGAGGAGGGAGTAACCATGAATGGTCTTCACTTTGTCAGTTCAAAAGCCCATCTGAATTTTGTCTTTTCACCTTTACAGTCAGTGCTCAGTTCTCTACACTCATAAGAAATGGGCAAAAGCAAAAGTACCCTGACCAAATGCCCAGAAACTTCAAAAGTAGAAAAATAGATTTTGATTTCACCCAGTATTTCTCTAGTGTCTGAAAGTAAAATATGCAGTTGGGAAGGAGGAAAAGCCACAGGGTCTTGAATTATCTACAGATTGTATATCTACCCTTTAATAATTGGGAGTAGGTTCTGTTTACATGGAGATGACAATTTTCTTGTCAACTAATATTTTAGAATAAGTGGGAACCCTGTTTTTCTCTTAAGGTATTTAGTGACAAATTGACGTGGTTCATTTTTTAAAAATTTATTTAGGAATTTTTTCCTACTATTTACCGTCTTCCAGGTGAGATCACCTTTAAGAAAGGGGTTCCCGGACTCCCCACCTCCAGGATGAGCACTGCAGTGTCGTGACCCCGGGGGTTTCGGTGAGTACACTGGTGGAGACAGCACTGGGGTGCAGGCCTGGCTTTGAAAGGTGGTCTTGAGGAAGTTTGGGCTTTGCTTCACGGACCTTTTCCCCTCTATATCACCCAACTCCCCTCTTCACCTCCTGTCCCTTAGTAAGCACCATCCTACTATTTACTTCTTTGAGTTCAACTTTTTTCAGTTCTGTGTGTGAGATCATGCAATATTTGTCTTTCTGTGCTTGGCTTATTTCACTTAAAGTAATGTTCTCTAGTTTCATCTATGTTGTAAGTGGCAGGATTTCAATCTTTTTTTAAGGTCAAATAATATTCCAGAGGGTGTGCATGAATGTAACGCACTTTCTTTAACTGTTCATCCGCTGACAGATACTTGAGTTGATTCCACATCGTGGCTATTGTAAATGCTATAGTGAGGGTGAGAATGCAGATATTTCTTCTCCATGTTGATATCATTTTCTTGGTGGATAAAAACCAGTATTTTTCATGGCATTGTAGTAAGTTCTAGGAATACAGGGATGAACAAGTCGGTCTTCGTCCCCACCTTCATGGAGCTTCCGGTGTGCTGTTAGAGATGAATGTTACACAGATGATCACATAATTACACATGTAATTATAAACACGGGAAAATGCAGGATGCTATGAGAAGAATGTAATGCAGAATCCCTCGTAGATTCCTGGTTTTAAGGAACCTTCCTTCTCTGAAGAAGAAACAAGCTGAGACTTCATTCTTTAAACAGAAATGTCCAAACTTGACGTGGGGGTTAGCAGACAAGTGTCAAGAATGACTCCCAAATTTCTGACATGAGCAACTGAGTGGATAAAGGAGACATTTATTAAAGTGTGGGAAACTGAAGGAAAGTCGTTTGGGAGGAAGACTACACAGAGATAGGAGCTCACGTTTGATCCTGTCAGGTTGGAACTGTCTGGGGGAGTGTGAAGTGCATGGGTGGGTGCAGTCCGCAGATGGAGGCTGAGCCTCGTGGGGATCTGGGAGCTGTCAGCATGGAGAGAACTCCAGGATGAGCACAGCGGAGGGCCCAGAGTAGAGTCCTGAGGAGCTTGGGGCTTTGGAGCCTGATGGAGAAGAGGCCTCAAGGGAAGCAGGTATGGAATGACTGGAGCGCTAGGAGAAAACTAGGAAACATGGTGTTATGGAGACCAAATGAGGTCAGTTTCAAGAAGGAAGGGATCCCCAGCAAAATCTACATGAGCTGGGCATCATGGTGCAGGCCTGTAGTCCCATCACTCGGGAGGCTGAGGCAGGAGGATCACAAGTTCAAAGTCAGCCTCAGCAACTTAGTGAGGCCCCCTAAGCAACTTAGTGAGACCCTGTCTCAAAATAAATATCAAAAGGGTTGGAGATGTGGCTCAGTGGTTTACTGTCCCTAGGTTCAATTCCTGGCACCCCCTGCTATCCCCCACAAAAAAGACGAGAATTTTGCTCATTTGTTCTTACTATCAGAAGGCCTAGAGCTTGGGGTGATAAGAGAATAAGGAACTATATGTAGAAGTACTTTGAAAATAAAAGTGTTTTATGGTCACAGCATTATTACTAGAAAGAGTCTGTGCTACCAGCTCATCATAAATTCATGGCAGATTAATAGAGATTTGATATTTGTAATATGTTTTGCATTTCTTTGGAAAGAGATTGCAACACAAATGCTGGGTGTTTCCATTCAGTGAGAAGCCAAGTAAGTCACAGAAGACCCAACTCTCTTAGTGTGTTGTACTGAGTGTTATAGAAAAACCAAAGACCTTGAAACAGGGGGTTGTCTTCAGAGACACAGCCTTCACACAGGGGTAAAATATGCACACGGAGTGGTCAATCGTGTGACACAGACAGGAGGGACCAGGAGCTATGGGCCCTGTACAGGGGTAACTGCTTTTCTTTCCTGAGGTAAAGGGTTTGGAATAGCCTTGTCCGTGCGGATGCATTTGCTGCTTCCTCCTTACCAGAGGTTGCTGATGTTTGATGGGAAGTTACAGAATGCTTTATGATTCTCTGTCAAATTGGACAAACACAATCCATTTTATGGTTTAAACTGGAAAAGCAAAAAGGCTGAAAGGTGATAGGGATAAAATACAACCTTAAATTAAAAACAAAATGTTTATAGAATTTTTTTCTCTTGAGGTCAGCCTAGAAACATTCCCTATGTTTTGTTCTAGTTCTTTTTAGCTGCCTTCTCTATTTAAAAAGTGTGTATATTCACAACTTCCATGAATTCCTTCTGTATCCCAGGTAAAGTGGTTGGGACTGTAAAAATTTCTAAATGCCAAAATAGACACTTAACACTTGGCAATGATCATACTGCCAAAACCTAGAAAATAACTGACCCTCCCGGTATTAGTCCAGTTTTCAACTCTGGAAACACATGTAAGCTGCAACACCTGAGCTATTTGTGACACGTTTTGATTCTTCAGCTACTAATCCTGCACTTAATAATCTCCCCCTTCAGTCTTGTGTTCTGAAGTAAGCGGGAGGGGAGGGAGGGGAGGGACTGACTCAGGGTATACCTGGATTTTCCCTTAGCCAGTCTGGGCTTCCCTAAATAAAGGGCTTTCTCGTTTATTCTCTAGCTAGGTTTGGGAATATTTACTTGACCTTTATGCTGCACATTAGCCTTGCAAATTGGCTCAAAAAATATATTAGCCTTCAAAGATGTTCTTTTACCTTCAGAATTATGGATCATTCCCTTGCTTACCGATGCCTAAAGTCCCTGTCATTAAGCAGTGAGAACACAAGACACACATTTGGCATAATTTAATAGAAAGATCATGGAAATCGGGAACAGAACTGATTGTATTTAATATTGGCTCAATATTTGTTTTCAGAAGTACCTCCTTTCATGCCTCCTCGCCCTTGAGGCCCTAAGAAAATAAGCATAGTGGTTTGAAATTGGGGTGGGTTTGTTACATTTTGGTGCCATTGTTTAGCCACCAGAGCTAAAATAGCAGAGTTACTGGATTGGATCTGCACTTCCCAGTGGTTTCAAAGCATTGTTTTAGAAGAAGAAAAGAATAAAATGTTTTTGAGGATTTTGTATTCAGAAGTAGAGAAATGTGAAGGAGACTAAATGGCTAAAGATTAAACTGCATTTCTCCTCTGCTTACAGATGCCTAGTTCTTGCTGCTTGGGTGGGAGGTTGTGTGCTGGGATAAGGTCTTAGTCACTCTTCAGCTACTTCAACACCAGAGCCTGTGGCCAGGATAGGAGTGTCGCCCTTTCCTTTAACTCTGCAGGAAGCTGAGGGATGATCTCGCTGGCTCTTTGTTGGCTGGTGCTTTCCTCTTGATCCTGTTGTGATGTGGTTTTATGTTTCTGTGTTATGTTATGTCTCACCATTTTGGGGTGTTCTTTTCTTGTAGAGTGCCCTGGAGATGCGAGATTTTCCTTTGGCAGCAGGAGGCACACACCCAGAGAATGCGGGAGCTGCAAGGAGAAAGGACCCACTTCCCCAGCAGAGAAAAACAAAGAGGAAAAAGGTGTACAGGTGGTCAGTGCTAAGGGACACGCCAAGCAAGCAGTGGGCCGCTGCTGCTGCTCCCAGCAGCTGCTTCTGCGATAGCCCGAGAGGAACTCGGTGAGCCCGTCCCTGTTTGTGACTGCAAGCTCAGGATTTCAATCAATGCATTCCAGTAACCCTAAAGTGAGGAACTCTCCATCAGGAAACGCACAGAGGTGAGGGCAAGGGCCACTCCCCACGGCCCCTTGGGGATTCCTGGCGCACCACAGACACTTACTGATGATACGGTGTGTTGGGTTAGAAGCAGATAGGAAAGGAAGGGAAACAGAATAGTAAATAGGAACAGAAGAGTCACCGGGCTAATGACAAAGCTTATGTAGTTGCCCTGTAGTGTTCTCTACTCATCCTTCTCGGACCTCTCCTCTTTACCACTGCACACCTTGCCAAAACTCGCATACAAAGACCAACAGGACAGTCTGCTAACCTTGGCAAGGTGAGGGCCTGAGGCTGCAGAAGTGAAACACTCGCCCCAGTCCCATGCCGGCTTTCCCTCTGCTACCCAGTACTTGAGCTGTCATTTTGAAAGGAGCCTTTCTCTCCCCCACTGGGGCAGTGGTCAGTCTACCCTGTTTTGGTAAAATGCACCGTTGGGAGGGATTCGCGTCCTGGAGGTTCTCCCTAAGCTTCCAGGCACCAGTGGGTTTCCCTCTTGCTCTCTGGGACTGTCCACGTTTCCCAGCAGGGAAGCTGGCCTCTCCTCACAGCTGTCTGTCACCAGGCTGGGGGTGCATGTTTGTTGACTCTAAACTAGTCTCCGTGTGAGAGTCACTTCCCTGTGTACATAGAAACCGTTGTCCTTTATTGACAGAAGGCCTAGAGATGGGTCCCCATGTGACCAGGGTTCCTGAAACCTGGCAGTCCACTGTGTTCAGTCCTCCTCTGTGGATGGCTTTGAAATGGGAACGAGCAAGTGGCTGAGGTGCAACATGGGGTGGTTATTTAGTCCTTAGGGTGTCCTGGACCCACTGAGGAAACTGCTGCTTCTGTGCCTGGTGTCTTATCTCCTTTTGTTATTTGTTTCTTCTAGTAGCCCTAAGTCAAAGCAGGAGGTGATGGTCCGTCCCCCTACAGTGATGTCCCCATCTGGAAACCCCCAGCTGGATTCCAAATTCTCCAATCAGGGTAAACAGGGGGGCTCAGCCAGCCAATCCCAGCCATCCCCCTGTGACTCCAAGAGTGGGGGCCATACCCCTAAAGCACTCCCTGGCCCAGGTGGGAGCATGGGGCTGAAGAATGGGGCTGGAAATGGTGCCAAGGGCAAGGGGAAAAGGGAGCGAAGTGTTTCCGCCGACTCCTTTGATCAGAGAGATCCTGGGACTCCAAACGATGACTCTGACACGAAAGGTATGTCTCTAAGACCCCTGAGACTCAGAGGGAAGTCGGTGTCCTGAGGGAAAGCCTCTGACATTTGTTGGAGGCCAGAAAGGCTAGTGTCGGTCAAGTGGGGAGAACAGGAGTCAGATTCAGGAGTTCTCACAGGGTGTAATGGAACTGTTTCTTCTCACTTTTCTACTCACTGGAGCCTAGTCTGGAACCACCTTGTTGAGTGCTGCCCGGGGGGATGCACATAGTTTGACGGGGTGCCTCACAGGGCTGGCCACATGTTTATGCATGTCTTTGGCCTCTGTGCTGATTCTCCTTCAGTTTCCAGTCAGTGGCTCCAGCCTCTCTGCAAGTGGCCTAGAGTGGAGCAGTTAGTTCTCCAGCATCCCCTCCTGTTCTCCATCCGAGTAGTCCCCCTGGGCTTGGGTTTGTGCTCTCTGGTTGCTACTTTGCCAGGCTTCCAGACACAAGAGGAAGCCTTGATGGCCCTGACAGTCCTCTAGACTTGTCACAGCTGATTTCACTGTGGCAGGAATGAGTGACTACCAGATGCGGTAGAGATTTGGCAGGTACCAAAGTGGAGTCAGCCAGAAAGGGGTATGATATGTGATTTTAGGTTTTTCTCCTTCTAGTGTAAGACTAAAAATCTAACTGTAGGCCAGAATGTGAAGTTAGTTTTCAAGAACTGGAACCCATATGAAAAATGGAAAACCTTGCCAGGTGCAGCAAAAGCTGGCCTCATGGTTATCCCAGCTAGCCTGGAGCCTGAAGCAGGAGGATCATCAGTTCAAGGCCACCCCTGGCAATTTAGTGATGTGTGATGGAACTGATTCTTCTCACTTTTCTACTCACTGGAGCCTAGTCTGGAACCACCTTGTTGAGTGCTGCCCAGGAGGATGCACATAGTTTGACAGGGTACCTCACAGGGCTGGCCACATTTTTATGCATGTCTTTGGCCTGGAGACTCAAAATGAAAAATAAAAGGCCTGGGGTTTTAGTTCAGGGTAGAGGGTTTGCCTAGCGTTCAGAGGCCCTAGGTTCAAGTCCCAATATTGTGAAAAGAAAAGAAAACCTGGGTGATTGTTCCCCCTTTCTTTCCTCCCTACCTCTTTTCCTTTCTTTTCTTTTCTTTCCTGTCCTTCCTTCCTCAGGTGTTGGAAGGCCTCCTTAAGTTTGGGAGGCCTACTATGAGGGCCAGCACCATGCGGATGCTAGGGGTACCATGGTCAGTAAGATAGACGCAATAGCCTCCTTAAGGATTTGAGTGTATCTAGAAGCTGATCGTTAAACAAACAATGAAATTTCATGAATGCTGAAGTAAGAGAAGTTAGGGGACTGTGAGTTCCATTAGCTGGGGCATCTAGGCAAGTCCAAGAAGTTTGAAAACTGTTCCCAGGAGGGAGGGACAGTTATACTGATATCTGAAGGATGTATTCTATTTACAGAAATGAGGAGGGAGGGTGCTTTGTAATGAATCATGTAGGGAGAAGAGTGTTTGAAATTTTATAAGTAGAAAAGAAGGTTTCCTCTTAACAAGATAATTTCTCCTTGAAATTCTCAAGGTGGGTTTGTGTTGCGATGGTGTAAATGCTGGCAGAAAAAAAAGAGTCTCAGTCTTTCCATGACAATGAGTCTTTTATTCTTTTAGAATGTAATTCTGCTGACCATATAAAGTCCCAGGATTCCCAGCACACACCACACTCCATGACCCCATCGACCGCCACAGTTCCCAGGTCTTCCACCCCTTCCCATGGCCAAGCTACTGCCCCAGAGCCCACACCTGCTCAGAAGACTCCAGCCAAAGTGGTGTATGTGTTTTCTACTGAGATGGCCAATAAGTAAGTTGATGGCACTGTCTTGCTGTTGAACGTCACTTATGTGTGTGGGGAGAGGGGACCTTAGTTCTTATTCCCCTTCCCCTTGCAGATTGATTTTTTTTCCCCCTCTTGTATCATGTAAAGTTAATAGTACAAAAAGAGATAAAATAAGATGTAAATCCTTCCCCATCCTACTCCCCAGAGGCAACCACTGATAATACTTCCTTGACTTTTTTTTTCAGAAATTTTTTGTGCTAATACAAATATACACATCTACCTTTTTTAAACATAGAAGAGTGATTGTATAATAAATACTTTTTCTACAATTTGCTTATTATTATTTTTTAAATGCCCCAAGTAGTAAATGTCTATAGTGGAATAATTAAAATTAAAAAAAAAAAAAAAACCACTAAAAAGAAAAAACCTCTGGAATTTAAACACAACTACCATGAACGTCTTGCTATATATGTTCTGAGTGGATGGCTGAATCGATTTTTATTCGTTTATTCGTCAAAAAGTACCCTGTGTGCACTTTTTTTCTTTTCTTTTTCACTTAAGATAAAAAGTGAATCTTAACAAAGTTAAACTTTCCGTATCCCTGGGTGTTTTTGAGATTTTAGTGTTCACACTTCTTAGTTTGGGATTTTGAACTAGGATCTTCTATAAAATACCTTAATAGTAGGTTCATTAAGAAGAAGAAAGTTTGGGGTTTTGTTTTTTGTTTTTTTAATGCCTCTTTTGGGGTACATTCATGGCTGTCTTTAGTTTCAGGTGTTTGATGATAATAAAATGTTTCCCTTGGTTTCTTCTTCTGTTCTTAAATTTATTTTTTAGTTGTTGATTTAGAGACGCAAGCCCAGAGCCTCACACATGGCAGGCTGCGCTCCACCACTGAGCCACCCCCGGCCCCTTGGTTTCTTCTTATCCAACATCTCTGGTGGTTCTTGGTGCTTCTCCTTCCACTCCCTTAGAGGTCCAGCATGGGGTCCAGTTGGGGTCACAGTGAGTGAGACAGAGACATGGCCTAGCACGTTGCCCTTTTGTCTCTGCAGAGCTGCCGAAGCCGTGTTGAAGGGCCAGGTTGAGACCATCGTCTCTTTCCACATCCAGAACATCTCCAGCAGCAGCAAGGCGGACAGAAGCACAGCCCCTCTGGTATGTGGTTGAGAAGTGGGTCCACAGTGACTGCCCAGGAGGGGGTGGTGATTGACAAGGAGCTGTATTCTGGATATCTAGTGTGACCCTGGCATTGTAGGGCCTTAGGCATGTCACACTGTGCCTTTCTATCAGATGCTGGTAAACTGATGACGTGTAAGGGGAAGAAGGTGCTAAACAAAAGAGGAGTTACACAGATATTTCAGGGTCACCATCTCTAGGAAAAATCTAAATTCAACCCTATGTGTAGAGCAGATGTTTTTAAAAAATAACATTCTTGAATTAGTTGAAGAAAAAATATGCAGTGTTTATTTTAATGCATATAGTTGATTAAATTGAACCAAACGACATTTCTGGTGTCTGGCATTGTCCAGGCATTGCACCAGATGCTGTGGGGAATGCTAAGAAGCTCAAGACACAGTCCCTGTGTTCAGAGAGCATGAACTCTGATACTGGTATGAGTCTTAATCATGGGAAAGTTAAATGACAGTAAGCAAAGTTATAATTCCAGATAAAATCGGTGCCATCTTGTCTACTTTGTGTATCAAAGAAATCTCCATCTCTGTGGACATAGCAGAGCTTGAGCTTTCCTGAACTTAGGAATTTTATGTTTCCCAGGTATATCCACTACTCAGAGACGGAGAGCGAATACCATTATATTTACAATGCTTGTCGTCTGGGGGTCCACTGGGTACCTTGCAACTCAGTTGAGCTTTATTGACTTAATGATAGTTCTTAATACAGTTATCACCTCCACCTTCTCTGGTGCTAAAATGTAATCAGAATTGGAGTTAGGGAGGGAATTAGTAATAATCCATTGCTCCAAATCTGAAATGAAAGGGGTAGTGAGAAACAGTTTCCTTGACTATAGTTGCTTTATTAAATCTTACCCCCCTCTAACCTGGCCAACCAAACCAAACCTGAAACGGCACGACAAGGAAAATTGGGGTGACCTCCATGCTCCAGTTGAGGAGTTGCAAAAGTGGAATTGTGCAGAGCCAAACAGATTGAGCTGATTTTACCCATACTAATCTATCTACAGACAAATGTAAATGTGCATCAGTACTTCCAATGAAACATTTGTGTATATATTTTTTCACAGAGTATAAATACTCAAAGGATGTTTTTGCTTACATGAAATATAAGTTCTTCATTTGTGTAGATACACGTAATAATTCATGTGCAGATTTACCCAAAGGTAAACATTCCAGAGAGTAAGTGGGGAGGTAAGTTAAGAGCCTCGTGGGTTTAGGAATACAGAATGGATTAAATGAACAAGTAGGAACAAATGAACACCAGAAAGGGATTAGGAGGGTCACTGACAGCTGGTGAAAAATAACTGAGAAAGTTTGTAGACCAGGCCCTTCTTAACCCTCTGAAGTCTCAGCTGTGCTGAAGTCGAGACCTAGAACATGTACATCCTTCTCCAGACAGTCATAGTGTCTGTGTCACCAGGTGTAGGTAAGGGAGCTTTTATCAGGACTCAGTTTAGCAGAGTACTTAATAAATTGAAAAGGGCAGCCTGCTGTCCATTGGAAGGGACAGATCAGGGGACACCGCCAGCTAGATAACCTCAGACTTGTGTGCACACGCTTCCTTCCTGCAGATTGTCCTACTACAGTTAATGTACAAATTCTTATCAGATACGGAATCAGTGATCACAAACTAAAAACAGAAACCATAGATGTGAGGCCCCTGGAAACTCAAGGAGGGGAACACTTCAGTCGTCACCCTGCCAGAGGGGATGTGACATGGAGTGGCCTCCCGCTGCATCTAGCTGGCAGAGCACAGAGCTACAAGTGAAGCATCAGACCTTTTGATTGATGACGATAAGTCTGCATACCCTATTGTACTTCCAGGAAAAAGAAAAAGGTGTTAGGTGTAGCCTCCCACATACCAAGGAACTAATTTTTTCCCTGAATCAAAAACACATAGTAGACATGTGATATCAAACCTGTTCCCGAAATAGATACTCAGATATATTCTCTTTGGCAGAGTGGCTCTCCCCTGGCATGCTTATAAAGTTTTTGGAACCTGATCTTCAACAAGGGAAAGAGGATGCCATTTGACAGTAAGGTTTTAAAAAAAAAAAAAATCTAAACATCTCTATGTCCAAAGAAGGGTTGTACGTAAATAATTTCAAAATCAAGTGTCAGTATAGAGTTATGTCACTGGGACAAGTCCTTTATAACGTATCTTGCTCTTTTAATTGCCCCTCTGTTCAGTTTACCAATGATCTAAACAATCTCATTTATCTTCAGAATACACAGATATCTGCCCTTCGCAATGATCCGAAACCTCTCCCACAACAACCCCCAGCTCCAGCCAACCAGGACCAGAATTCTTCCCAGAACACCAGACTGCAGCCAACTCCACCCATTCCGGCACCAGCACCCAAGCCTGTGGCACCCCCACGTCCCCTGGACCACGACAGTCCTGGGGTGGAGAATAAACTGATTGCTCCTGTGGGCAGTCCTGCCAGTTCCACTCCGTTGCCCCCGGACGGCCCCGGGCCAAACTCAACGCCCAACAATCGAGCAGTGACCCCTGTCTCCCAGGGGAGCAGTAGCTCTTCGGCAGATCCCAAAGCCCCTCCACCCCCATCAGTGTCCAGTGGCGAGCCCCCCACACTGGGAGAAAACCCCGACGGCCTGTCTCAGGAGCAGCTGGAGCACCGTGAGCGCTCCTTGCAGACCCTCAGAGACATCCAGCGTATGCTCTTCCCTGATGAGAAAGAATTCTCAGGAGGACAGAGTGGGGGGCCCCAGCAGAATCCTGGGGTATTAGATGGACCTCAGAAAAAAACAGAAGGGCCAATCCAGGCCATGATGGCTCAGTCCCAAAGCCTGGGTAAGGGTCCTGGGCCCCGGACAGATGTGGGAGCTCCCTTTGGACCTCAAGGACATAGAGATGTACCCTTTTCTCCAGATGAAATGGTTCCACCTTCTATGAACTCCCAGTCTGGGCCCATCGGACCTGACCACCTGGAGCACATGACCCCTGAGCAGATGGCGTGGCTGAAGCTGCAGCAGGAGTTCTACGAGGAGAAGAGGAGGAAGCAGGAGCAAGTGGTGGTGCAGCAGTGCTCCCTGCAGGACGTGCTGGTCCACCCGCACGGGCCGAGGGCCGTGGGCCGAGGGCCGCCCCCTCCCTACCAGGTGACCCCTGGTGAAGGCTGGGCCCCCGGGGCTGCAGAGCCGTTCTCTGATGGAATCAGCATTTCACATTCTCTGCCCCCCAGGGGCATGGCTCCCCATCCCAACATGCCAGGGAGCCAGATGCGCCTCCCGGGATTTGCAGGAATGATAAACTCTGAAATGGAGGGGCCAAACGTGCCCAACCCTGCGTCTAGACCAGGCCTCTCTGGAGTCAGTTGGCCAGACGATGTGCCAAAAATCCCAGATGGTCGAAACTTCCCTCCCAGCCAAGGTGTCTTCAGCGGTCCTGGCCGAGGGGAGCGCTTCCCAAACCCCCAAGGATTGTCTGAAGAGATGTTTCAGCAGCAGCTGGCAGAGAAGCAGCTGGGTCTCCCCCCCGGGATGGGCATGGAAGGCATCAGGCCCAGCATGGAGGCGAACAGGGTGATCCCAGGCTCCCAGCGCCACATGGAGCCCGGGAACAATCCCATCTTCCCGCGGATACCAGTCGAGGGCCCGCTGAGTCCTTCCAGGGGCGACTTTCCAAAAGGAATGCCTCCACAGATAGGCCCTGGTCGGGAACTTGAGTTTGGGATGGTTCCTGGTGGGATGAAGGGAGACGTGCATCTGAATGTCAGCGTGGGACCCAGCCCTCAGATGATACCTCAGAAGATGAGAGAGGCTGGCGCGGGCCCTGAGGAGTCGATGAAGTCCCGCCCAGGCGGCTCAGACATGCTGCCTGCCCAGCAGAAGATGGTTCCCCTGCCATTTGGTGAGCACCCTCAGCAGGAGTATGGCATGGGCCCCAGGCCATTCCTTCCCATGTCTCAGGGTCCAGGCAGCGGCAGTGGCTTGCGGAATCTCAGAGAATCAATTGGGCCCGACCAAAGGACTAACAGCCGGCTCAGTCATATGCCACCACTACCTCTCAACCCCTCGAGTAACCCCACCAGCCTCAACCCAGCTCCCCCCGTCCAGCGTGGCCTGGGACGCAAGCCCCTGGATATATCTGTGGCAGCCAGCCAGGTGCATTCCCCAGGCATCAACCCTCTGAAGTCTCCCACGATGCACCAAGTCCAGTCCCCGATGCTGGGCTCACCCTCGGGGAACCTCAAGTCCCCCCAGACTCCGTCGCAGCTGGCAGGCATGCTGGCAGGCCCAGCTGCTGCTGCTTCCATTAAGTCCCCCCCTGTTTTGGGGTCTGCTGCTGCTTCGCCTGTTCACCTCAAGTCTCCATCACTTCCTGCCCCGTCACCTGGATGGACCTCCTCTCCCAAACCTCCCCTTCAGAGTCCTGGGATTCCTCCAAACCATAAAGCTCCCCTCACCATGGCCTCCCCAGCCATGCTGGGAAGTGTAGAGTCAGGTCAGTATCCTCACAACGGCATCCTCACAGTCGCACTCATACCTGGAGATTGCCAGACCCTGACTTTGCTTAAGAAAACTGGTGTCTTTGAATGTAACCAGAGGAAGTGGCCTTTGCCAAACGTGGCAAGGTGCATCATTCTGAGTACTGCGTTAGGCGTATGCACAAGTACCCAGCCCTACAAAGTGTCTTGTGTGTGGTGGGTGCTGTGGAAGGAGGAGGGGACTTACATGAGCACAGTGAACACAGACTGGCGAGATAGAACGTCCTAACAGTGGGGAAATGTGACTTCCTCAGATCCTGGGCCCACCCACTTCAAGGGGCTATGACTGAGTCTTGTCCCATGCAAATAGAGGGAGGCTATTCTAAGACTTGTTTGGTTCTTGAAACTATAGTTGCCCACAGAAAACTCCATTTCCTCAGATCAGCTGCAGTTTGTTCATATTTTCTTCTTGGGAGAGACCCTCACTGATGATAGTAGCTTCGTGGGTGGAACCAGAGCACTGAGGTGTGATACTAGTTTTGGTACAGTCTCCACCCGAGAAAACTAGAACCAGAACAAGATGGGAGGCCTGTCCTGCCAAGCCAAGGGTCTTCCTCTGGGGTAAGCGGGTCATTAAAACAGTGGAGTAGATAGCTGCTTCGGACCTTCTTAGGTCAAGCATCATGGCCATTGTTTTAGTTAGCTTTTTTGCTGCTGTGACTCAAAGATCTGACCACAACAACTTTAGGAGGGAAACTTTATTTGAGGGCTCATGGTTTCAGAAGTCTCTGTCCATAGAAGGCGGGCTCCATTCCTAGGGACTCAAGGTGAGGCAGAACATCATGGCAGAAGAGTGTGGCAGAGGGAAGGAGAGAGAGAGAGAGAGAGACTCTGCCCTCTCCAGATAAAAAATACATACCCCATAGCCGCTCCCCCACGAACCACTTCCTCCAGCCACAGCCCACCGGCCTCCAGCTACTACTCATTTGGTCCCAGCAGGGATTAATTCATTGATTAGGTTAAGGCTGTGGCCCAACTGTTTCTCCAAACCTTGCATTGTCTTAGGTGTGAGCTTCTAACCCATAGCAGTCATGGAAACGAAGAGTTTGTGTAGGGTGATATGGCTGGACCTGGGGTTGGGCACTAGTCTGGCTTCACGGGGTTCTAATACCTGGATCAGGCTCTAAACTGTGACTGGCAAGGGAAAGAGTTCCATTTACATTTCACATTCTTTTCAATGAAATGGTTGCTCGTAATCTCATTTTTCTAATGTATCCCTGCTGCGTTTTGTCTTCACATCTGCTGATGCGTCACCTCCATATCACGCCACAGTCTCCTTCTGCACACACAGAGAGCTTGACTAGAAGATTGATGACTCGTGTCCTTGGTCTAATAACACTGTCCTGCTCATCTCTCTCCTTCCTGGCCTTGCCAGTTCATAATCATAGGGCCCAGTAGCTCTCAGAACCAGTGGACTCCCTGCCCATCTTTGTTTTGTTTTGCTTTGTTCTCCTAGGTGGCCCTCCACCGCCTACAGCCAGCCAGCCTGCCTCCGTGAATATCCCTGGAAGTCTTCCCTCGAGCACACCTTACACTATGCCTCCAGAGCCAACCCTCTCCCAGAACCCTCTCTCAATTATGATGTCTCGAATGTCCAAGTTCGCAATGCCCAGTTCGACCCCATTGTACCATGATGCCATCAAGACTGTGGCCAGCTCTGATGACGACTCCCCTCCAGCCCGTTCTCCCAACCTGCCGTCAATGAACAACATGCCAGGTAAGAAGCCAGAAAGACGGGGTGTGGAGCTGGTGCTGACTAGGGAGAAACTTCCTGAATTGTTTTCTTAGTGACAGGTGGACGTTGAATAGTTAGCCATGTGCCATCAGAGTCAGTCTCGGTGGAGTTGAGGTGCCTGACTAGAGGAGGGTGGCCTTCCTCATCAGCTCATCTGAGGGTGTGAGAGGGCTTCCCTGCTCTGCGTACCTGGCGGGTTCTGGACTTTTTCCTTTGGGGTCCTCCTGCCGTCATGCTGAAGTCATTTCTTTCTCGCATGCTGATGGGAATGTCGTTAGCGCTCACGTGGTTTCCTGGAAAGGCACCCTCAAGCCACCAGCCACCACAGGGTTCCAGAGAGTGGAAAGCCCCTGTTTCCTAGATGAGTCCTTTCTTAGAACTAGGGTGATAATAAAAGTCTTCCTTTCACCGTTTGCTCTGTCTGCCTTCATTCCTTCACCCACCTCCACCTCTGCCCCCACCAATCTCAGAAAAAAGGCGTGATCTTCAGTGGTGAAGGTGATGGCAATCCCAGTTAACCAGGTTAGGCCGCGCTGGGTGACGGGCACAGACGCCCTCCCTGCCGCCCTCAGTGACGGTCCAGAGGGAGGCCAGAAGTTTAGACATCCCAGAGACTGGCAGACAGGACACTTCCCCTTTTCCATTAAACGTCATCGCTGTCATTGCCTTGACGTGTCTTGTAACCTGGAGTTAAATGGTCTCTTGGGAAGGCAACATAAAATAATGCCAGGTGTCAGTTGGGAAAAAAGACTCGTTTGGGTTCTTTGTTATTATTCCTGACCACTGGACTTGTGGAACCAATAATCCTGTGTCTCCAAAAAGGGCCGTACTTCAGTCGTTCAGGCAAATTATTTTCTTCCTGTGTTAAATTGTCTCCAGTGAAGAAGACAACACTGTTTGCATATTAACTTAGAACTTTCACATAGAATTTTTCCCTTGCTGTCTTCTGCACAGTCATGTCATATGCGTGGTTCAAACGCCCCCCCCAAGTGTGTTATAATCTTTTGATGGCAGGGATTTTGTTTTCCCATGATAGAACTGTGCACATTAGATGCACAATAACTTTTTTTGTTAATTTGATTTATTAGTTTTTCTGAGTTGCTTTTAGTTGAGTTGATTCCTTTGATATCTTTATTTTTCTAGGAATGGGCATTAATACACAGAATCCTCGAATTTCAGGTCCAAACCCCGTGGTTCCGATGCCAACCCTCAGCCCAATGGGAATGACCCAGCCACTTTCTCACTCCAATCAGATGCCCTCACCGAATGCTATGGGACCCAACATACCTCCTCATGGGGTCCCAATGGGGCCTGGCTTGATGTCACACAACCCTATCATGGGGCATGGGTCCCAGGAGCCTCCGATGGTACCTCAAGGACGGATGGGTTTCCCCCAGGGCTTCCCTCCAGTACAGTCTCCTCCGCAGCAAGTCCCGTTCCCTCACAATGGCCCCAGTGGAGGACAAGGCAATTTCCCAGGAGGGATGGGTTTCCCAGGAGATGGCCCCCTTGGCCGCCCCAGCAACCTGCCCCCAAGTTCAGCAGATGCAGCACTTTGCAAACCCGGAGCCCCAGGGGGTCCGGACTCCTTCACTGTCTTGGGGAACAGCCTGCCTTCGGTGTTTACAGACCCAGATCTGCAGGAGGTCATCCGACCTGGAGCCACCGGAATTCCTGAGTTTGACCTATCCCGCATTATTCCATCTGAGAAACCTAGCCAGACTCTGCAGTATTTCCCTCGAGGGGAAGTCCCAGGCCGTAAACAGCCCCAGGGGCCTGGACCTGGTTTTTCGCACATGCAGGGGATGATGGGTGATCAAGCCCCCAGAATGGGACTAGCATTACCTGGCATGGGAGGTCCAGGGCCAGTGGGAACTCCGGACATCCCTCTTGGTACGGCTCCATCCATGCCAGGCCACAACCCAATGAGACCACCAGCCTTTCTCCAGCAAGGCATGATGGGACCTCACCATCGGATGATGTCACCAGCACAATCTACAATGCCCGGCCAGCCCACCCTGATGAGCAATCCAGCTGCTGCCGTGGGCATGATTCCTGGCAAGGATCGGGGGCCTGCTGGGCTGTACACACACCCAGGGCCTGTGGGCTCCCCGGGAATGATGATGTCCATGCAGGGCATGATGGGACCCCAACAGAACATCATGATCCCCCCCCAGATGAGGCCCCGGGGCATGGCTGCTGACGTGGGCATGGGTGGATTCAGCCAAGGACCTGGCAACCCAGGAAACATGATGTTTTAAGCTGCTAAGATTGGATGTGCCGATGCTTGTCGAGATGAGATTCCAGGTCCTGAGAGCTGCTCAGAGGGAGCGCCAGGAGTGCTGACTGTTGGTCATGCAATAGGGGGACAGAGACCCGAGGGCTGCTTTGGGGGAGGGGAACTCGAGAATGTATGGATCTATCTGAAAACAAATTATTCATTTAATCAACAGGTGTGTTTTTTTTAAGATTTATTTTTTAAAAATTATTTTTGTGGACTTGGGTATCCCATGATGGCACCTACTTTTGGGAATCTGTAGCCGTGCTTTGAGAATCGCCATGGGTCACGTGTTGCACCGTTCTCTGTATGTTTACGTCCTTTGGACTGGCTTCTCCCAGGATTCTTTTATGTTTTGTTTTTGTTTTTGTTTTTTAAATTTGGGCTTTATTTTTTTGTGTGTACTGTACTATATTGTAAAAGGGATTTTAGCAGAGACGTTAGTCTTTGGGGCAAGAGGAGAACAGGAATGCTGGGCTGTTTACTTTAGGTGGAGAATCCATCTTCAGACTTTGGACTATTTTCTTTCAACTCCAGTGTATAGAAAAACCAAACTACGACCTCAGAGCAGAGTATTAATGAAAAGCACAAAAAAGGAACTAAGTTCAGCGAGGGGTGGGGGGAGGGGGGAAATTTTTCTTTTTAAAAATAATGAAGCTTAGGACATTTGTTTCAGTTCGAGTGCTCGTCAGCACTGTCTGTCTCTCCCAGTACACAAACCCACCATCAGGTCTTCTCTGTTTCCCCCACGCTTCCCGTCTTAGCTAAGTGTGTTCTCCTCCCTCGGGCCCTCCTCTCCTCTCCCCTGTGGCAGCTGCAATACCTGGTGTTCTGCTGGGGACTGCTCCAGCGAAGCCCTGTTCCTGCCGGGTGTCCTCCTGGCCCTGCAGGGGAGCTCTGTCCTGGGAGGGCCCTTGGCCTTCTCCCTTGGCCTTCCCACCCCCAGCCCACTCCCCCTGCCCACCTCATTTTCTGTTCTCTTTTTATTAGGAATTCCCAAGTGAATTTTATTAATGTGGGAGTGGAACAGATGCTAAAAGCTACCCAGGATTTTGTTTTTGTTTTAGATTTTGTGGTTCCTTCCCCTTCCTTCCCTCCCATGCGTAAAACGTTCTGTGTGACCTCCATTAAATTTGGTACAAAACCACTCGCCAGAGCTGTGGTGTCAGAAAAATAAACTATATTGTTTCTTACAAAACGGAACTGCCTTTCTGCTCACTTGGGTCCTGTGTGTTTCGTGTTGGCGTACTGGTTGCCACGTGCCCAGCAGCGGAGAACCCATGTGTTAGAGTTGGTCACTGGGGCGACAGGGAAAGTCTCAAGAGTGCCTTCTCAGATGAAGCCTGTTCCTTGCTACAGAGGAATCGTTACTCAGGACGTTCATCCTGTACTGTCTCAGCCCGAAGTCCTGGTTATGAGCAGAAGAGCAACCCTAGTCCCCTTGCTGACCTTGACCTCTCGGGCGGTTGATCATCTTTATTAGGAGTGTTTGGTGACAGTTTAATGGTATAAAATAATTAAGAAGGCAAAGATATGTTCAGCCATTTGAACAAGCTGTGAGGTGTCCCTGCCTCCTGCCAAGATAAAACGTTACTACACCTGCAGATCCTGGGTTCTCAGTCCGTGGACTTCTGTGTTCATCCTCCCTGTCACCCCTGCTGGCCCTGCAGACTGCACACTCCACTTCCCACTGGACGTGCCTGTAGCACCTCAGGGTCTCTGAGGGCCTTGGTGTCGTGTTTCTGGGCAGTTGACTGTATTCTGGCCTGCGCACTTCTTTGGTCATAGGATTTTTACCCCGATGAGTGGGCGTCTGTGTGCATGTTTGTTCCTAGGTGAGAGGATCTAAGCAAGGAGCAGCAGGTGCAGCACCATTTGCTGACAAACTCGTACAATTGGGCTCTGCTGGTGTTTCACGGTCTGAGTGTGATCTGTGAATGTTGCTCTTTCCGACAAGTGCGTTTAAGAGCCATTTTCTCTCACCTTCAGCAGTTTTCCAGCCTGAGCAACACAAGAGCCCCAGACAGCAAACATGTGGAGGTAAGTGTCAGAGCGCCTACTCTCCCAGTCACCTCCGTGTGTTGTCCTGCTGATTTCTGAGGGGCCCTATGAAGGAGGTGGTTATGATTTCTTCTGCACTTGAGAAAATTGAGCTTAGGAGTTTAAGAAACCCAACTCAATCAGATCTATTCTGTTGGTATTGGGTGGTGTGACTTTTTATGTTCTAGAGAAATTAGGATAGTAAGAGGTTTTCATTCTGCAAATTCAGCCATCTCGCTAGGTTTCTTGCTTTGAATTAGAGAACAGGGTAACAGCCAAGCGTGCGGAGCGTGAGATGAGAGCCTTGAGGAAGGCTGGGGACTGGCATTTGTCCATGGGCTCGTTTCTTAGGCAGCATAACCATGGAAGAGTGTCACGGTCACTGATGGTGTGTTGTCCCCTTGCTCCTGCCAGGCAGCGGGGAGTCAAGTCAGGAAAGGGTTGCAGAGCAGGTACCACCTTGGAGGGCAGGCAAGAGTTGGGCGGCCTCTGAGGAGGCAGTTACAGTTGGCTCAGGGACTGCTGCCCCCTTCTGGAGAATTGCTGCAGTACAAATCAACTTTCCCAGTTCCAACTAGTTGAGGTTTTTAAACACGTCACAAATCTTTCATTTATTTACTCTATCAACATATGCCACCATTTCATCATGTTGTGTCTGATAAGCCAAGTCTATTTGGAGCTATTACAACTTTTTCTACGTCTTATGAAATAAAATCAAATTTTGAGAGACTTCATGCAATTGCATAGGGAACTAATGATGCAAGATTTTTTTTTTAACAAAAAAATCAATAAGTGGTAAAAGTGTCTCATCCATACACAATCCTGTGAAGGCCCAGCCAGTCTTCCCTTACCCGCTCTCCCTGAGTTGGGACTGGATGGAGGAAATGCAGTCAGTCATGGCCTGCTGCTTCACCTCAGGGTAAGTGGTGAGGCATGGGTCATGGCGTTACCTCTTAAGAGCTGACAAGGAATATGTGGCACTTCCACTGACACAATCTGGAATAAAGTGATTCTGCAGTTGTGAATGAACACAAACATCCTGTAGTGATCTTATGAAGGGTGTGGCATGAGAAAATAAAACTCATTCATTTTGTGGTGCTGGGGGTCAGATCCAAGGCCTCACACTTGCTAGGCAAGCTCTCTGTCCCAAAGCTACATCCTCTACCCCCAATAAAATTTAAGGCATTCTTCAAAAAATTGACCCAACCTCTTTCCCAGTTGTCCTGCTCTCCCACAACTTCTCAATATTGTGACTGCTGTTCAGCTGCATCACGGGGCTGTTAGACCCCACCTGGCTGTATGATCTGCTGTCACTGTGGGGAATTCTTAACTTCTTGATGTTGTGCCACATATTTCCAGTTTTTGATACTGGGATTGGACCAAGAGCACTCTACTACTGACCAGCGGCTCCAGCCCTTTTATTTTGAGATGGGGTCTTGCTAAGTTGCTAAAGCTAGCCTCAAACTTGTGCATCTCCTGCCTCAGTCTCCTAGGTAGCTGGGGTCACAGGTGGCCACCACGTGCCTGGCACTGCATTCATTCTTACTTTCTGCTTAACCAGCAGCTGGGAGCACCCCAGCTAGATAGTCGTGTTCCAACTAAACTGTGTACCCCTTTGTCGTTTCCTTTTCTTTCTCTGAGTACTTTCAAAGTAGTGAAAGGAGAAGGAAGTCGTCTTCAATCCAAGGACACATGTATTCAACAAAACTGGTAGAGGAGCCACTGTATGTAAGAACTGGGCTAAGGCTGGGCTGAAACAGTCGATGTTTGATCAGCCACTAACACAGGTCCCCACTGGTGTGACAGTGCTGACCCTGGTCCAGCAGGCCAACAGGCCGTCTCCATAGAGCCTCGAGCCCAGGGGATGCTGTGTGACTCTTGAAGGAGGGAGTTTCCTGTTGGTGAGGGAAAGGGAAACAGCAGGGAGGTCTCTTTAAGGGGGCAGAGGAAGGGGCGGTCATGAAACCCTGGAGCGGCCCACTTCAAGGTTCTGAGCAAGAAGGCTTAGGGTGTCACTTAGTGGTAGCGGTCGGGCTTAGCATGTGTGAGGCCCTGAGTTTGAGCCCTGAACCACAAAATTTGTAAATCAGTTTTAAGCAAGGGAATGAAGTGATCAGATTTTTTTTTTTTTTTTTTTTTGTAGTTGGACACAACACCTTTATTTTATTTATTTTTATGTGGTGCTGAGGATCAAACCCAGGGCCTTGCACATGCTAGGCATGCGCTCTACCACTGAGCTGCAGCCCCAGCTCAATCAGATTATTTTTCATAAAATTTACAAACTGGAATGTGTGGAAGGCAGCTGGGGGCTGGGGGAGGGAACCACAGGAAGATCACTAGTGAAACTTGCTTATTTTACAAAATCCTTAAACTCAAGACTCATCCCTTTTGCTTTAAAAAAAGAAAAAAGAAAAAACATCAAATTGCATCACATTTCCCATACTGTTTAGAAAATTTGAATCTTTTTTTTTTTTTTTTTAATTTATTTTTTAGTTTTCGGCGGACACAACATCTTTGTATGTGGTGCTGAGGATCGAACCCAGGCCGCACGCATGCCAGACGAGCGCGCTACCGCTTGAGCCATATCCCCAGCCCCGAAAATTTGAATCTTAATGCCACTTTCTTTTCTCTCGCTCAGATCTGTAATTTTTTTGGAAGTCACAAACTCTTACATTTAAGAAAAATCATATAATCTTAATTTGGCGGTTAAATTTTTAATAACACATGTAAAGCAAATAGTCTAAAAAGCACAAAAACCATTTTATGGCCAAACATTTCATGGAGGGAGTTAAAAAATAATGTCTAAAGGAAAGTATGTTATGAGGATTATAATAAACTTTGTCTCCCCCTCCCCCTCTCCCTCCCTCTCTTGTTTAACCTGGCTTCTTATCTGGGTATGAATCTGTGTTCTGTAGGTGACCTGTAGGTGACTACACTCCAATGTCATCTCCTGGCTCAGTGCTTAATTGCACTTGGCAACCAGCCCTGCTAGAGGAGGAAGGGGAGTGGGCCTGCGGTCACAGAAAGATGGCAAAGAGAACCTTCACAGGAGTTGTCTCACACACACTTCCTCACACAAAATCAAATGATGAATTCATTTATTTCACCAAATGCAAAAGAACTCAGGCTTCCCTTGCAAAATAGCCCACTCAGAGTCCAAGCAATCTGAGGGACCCGAGGATTCCAAAGAACTGGTTCAAGAAACCCAGTCATAGGAAAGTCAGTCTTTGCTTGGAGCCACAGGTGGCAGGCAGCTGGGCTGGCTGACCTGCGTGTTCCTGTGTGCTCCTGGGGGGCTTGACTCCTCATACCTGGCCAGAGGTGAAGTCCTAGAATCTATTTATTTATTTTAACCTGGGAAGCAGCCCCAGCGCGCAGCTGTGTGCAGGCTGCCATCTTCCGCTCCAGTGGCCAGAGCAGGGTAGAAGGCAGAATGGCTCACAAGTCCCGGTGGTGTCTGGCATCCAGCTAATTCATGGTAAGGGTGAGCTTCAGTTCTAAGGTCTTATTTATTTGTTTACTATAGAAAGGCCTTTGTGTAAGGCCTTCTGGGAGCCTGTGTCTGTTTCTGATCTTCACCCAGCTCCCAGGGCTTTCATTTCCTCACTTCCCTTTTAGGGACTCCACAGCCACCCTGTGAGGACCTCTCCTGAAGACTGAGCCTGTCCCCAGGAGTCCGTCTGTGACCTGAGAATGTGCTTCACCGGCTCTGGTTCGGCTGCTCAGTTCTCAGTGTCAAGTGTAATGGGGGCTGGGCCCGGCACCTTCTAGGACAGGGTCATCACCATTACATTCAGTCAAAATGTATTTGGTTACAGGGGACGGAGGATTGCTGTGATTTATTTTGTTCTCCAAATTACAAAGTCTCCTAGTCTTTGGTAAAGTCCTCTATAACACTTGTCAGTAGTTGAGCTATTAAAAAGTTTCATACCCACACAGATTTATTTATACAAGTATATATGAACATTTAATTGAGTAAAATGTGAAAATAATTAAATGACAGTTTTGAAATGTCAACCCACTGCAATTAATTTATTTTTCTCTTTATTCTGACCATACTTGGTGCCTGCGAGGCCTTTAAAATACAATCATGATTATTTAAATGCTTGATAATACCAACAAGGAAATACAAAGATCAAATCCACACGAAGGATGAGCCAGATGTCACCTGGTCCAAGAAAGAAATTATCCAGCTGTTAGCCTAGTGTAGCAGGATCCCTGATGTTAGCACAGACCTTTATAAGACAGTATCGCCATCACTTAAACAAAAGCACTGAGCATCTACCTTACACGCTGCGCGGTGCTAGGCTCAGTGGATATGACAGCTGCTGTGGGAACCTCTGTCCAGCTGAAGAGATGCACAGAGGGACGACAAGACTAGATTCCCTGCTCAGCGTTACCACGTTCTGTGTTCACGTTCCATAGTGAAGTGATGGCTGTCTTGGACATGGTAAGAAAGCAATCCTACCTGTGACTCCCTTTCTGCATCACTGCCCTCCCCTCTTCCTACGTCTTCCCCCATCAGCAGAGGAACATTCCTGAGGCTGGGGACTGAGCAGCCAACACCAGCCAGTCACAATCGGTAAGCATCATCTGGATGCTGACAACTCTAGAATTTCTATCTTCCTCTCAGCTGATTTATATGAGTCTAGATTTGGTCAACTGGCACCTTGATGCTGCCTCTGGGGTGACAAACAGACACCTCAAACTTACAGTGTCTTAAACTGAACTGCTCAGTTTCCCCAGATCTGATCTCCATTCCCAACTTCCAGTCCAGCTAGTTCAGTCTCAGACACTGGGACTCATTCTTGATTCTCTATTCCTCAAATAAAGCCTTCGACAATGCTTTCATGACCTTTTCCAGAACATATCTAAATCCACCCACATTCCTCCATCACTTGTTCAAGTTACCATCTTTTACCAGTTCTATGATGTTCATTTCTTTTTTGTTTTTAATATTTTTTTAGATGTCGATCGACCTTTATTTTACTCATTTATTCATATGTGGAGGATGGAACCCAGTGCCTCACGCATGCCAGGCAAGTGCTCCACCACTGAGCCCGGCCCCAGCCCCCATTTCTTAATCTACCTTCACTCCTGCTGTGTTCTATCTACTCTCCACATGGTACACAGAGAAACCTCAAAGACTACAAATCATGTAGGCCGCTTTCTTCCTTAGAGCCCTGTAATGCGTTCCCAATGTATGAAATCCAAGACCTCTAACGTGCCTCCCAGGCCCAAGGCACCTTGCTATGCTCCAGCCAAACCACTTTGATTTCAGTATCTCCAATGTACCAAGCTCTCCCTTGTATACACGGAGGGACCTTGGGGGGAAGATGCAGGAGCCAGGCATGGTGCCAGATTCTGAGAGTGAAACTGGAAGGAAGAGTCGTGGTGTTGGGGAGAACCTACCCACTGCTCTACAGGGTCTCCATTTGAGCCACCCAGGAAGGGAGGCCACTCTGACGAGGGTCATCAGCTCTAACATTCAGAAAATTCTGCCACTAATGAATCGGGCTTCTTGGGACTTTTGCCTTGGACATCGGTATTGATTCTGCCCTTAGATGTACACACAAAATAAGGGAGTCCTTATTCACATGGCAGCCTTTCAGATAGCTGGCCATGGTCAGCATGTCCCTCCAAGTTGTCTGTCCGCCAGGCCAACGCCCCAGTCCACCGTCACGACCCGTGAGATCCTGTCTGAGTTCCCAGGCTCCCTCATAGTTTGGTCTTATTTTGTCACAGCTAGACCTACTTTAAAGGAGCAGCAGAGGATACTCGGTGCCTGATCTCATCTCTCTGATCTCACACAGTGAGACTATCATGTCCTTTTATCCAAACACAGTTTTACTGATACCGAAAGTTTACCTTTTTTTTTTCCTTCTGCTATATGGTTGCATTGAAATTTTAGGAAAAGAAAACCCCAAGATCTTTTTAATATAAAACTATTTTTACTCCCAATCTTATATTTTCTTTGGCTTTTTTAAGCCTGTATTCAGAATTACAGTTATTCCTATTTTATTTCAATATTTATTTTGATCTGCTATTCCTTAGAAACTCTTCTAACATTCTTTATATTGATTCTATTTTTTTATAAAAAGCAAAGCTGTTATGATTTTCATCCACGTGATGAAAGAGCCCAGAATAAAGTCCTAAAGTTCTAATTGTGAAGCTTTATAGAGGTACCTTTTCTCATTCTTTTTTATTATTATTATCATCATCATCATCATTATTGTTGTTGTTGTAAAAAAAAAAAACACCTAGCATAAAATAGATTATTTTAACCATTTCAAAGTGCACATGAAGATGCTGTGGCGTTAGTACACTCACATTGTTACACGACGGTCACTACCATCCATCTCCGGAACTTTTCCATAAGGCAAACTGGGAATTCCGTACACATCTAACAACCTCCCTCTCTTTCCTCCCCAGACCTGGACACCACCTTCCTACCATCTGACCCTATGAATCTGAGTGAAATCATACACTACTTGTCCTTTTGTGTCTGATTGATTCACTTATAATGTTTTTAAGTTCATCCACATGGCAGATGTGTTCCCATTTTAAGGCTAAATAATATTTCATTATATGTATGTATGTATTTTGTTTATCCATTCATCATTGACATGGTGTTTATGTTAATTTCTTCATTTGACGCCCATGAATGACGTTGTGGGCACACAAATATCCGAGTCCCTCTTTTACTTCTTTGGGGTATATACCCAGAAGTACTAGGTTATATGGGAACTTTATGTCTAATTTTGTTAAGGAATTGCACACTGTTTTCCATAGTGGCTGTACCATTTTACTTTGCTCCCGGGAATGGACTAGGATTCTTATCTGTCAACATTCTTATTAATACTGGTTATTTTTGTGGGGTTTTTTTTTTTTTGGAAGGGAGAGGGTGTTACTTGTTTTGTTTTAAGCAAAGTCCTAACGAAAGCTTTTATTCCAAGGGCATGAAGTAGTCTCTCATTGTGATTTTGGTTTGAATTTCCCTGATAAATAATGATGTTGAGTATCTTCTCCATATATTTACTTGCCACCTTTATGTCTTCACTGGAGAAATATCTGTTAAAGTCCTTTGCCCATTTTTTGATTGAGATAAATTTTTGTTATTGTTGGATTGTAGGAGTTCTTTATATATTCTGAATATCAATCCCTTATCAGACATGTAATCTGAAAAAATTGTCTCACATTCATGGCCTGCCTTTTCTCTTTTTTTGATTGTGTCCTTTGGTGCACTAAAATTCATTTAATTTTTATTTTGATGAAGTGCAACCTATCTATTTTTCATTCTCTTTCCTGTCTTTTTTGTGTTATACCAAGAAATCATTGCCAAATCCAATATCATGGAGCTTTTCCCCTGACTTTTATAAGTTAGGACTAATCTTTGTATTGACATCAATTTGGTAATTTATTAAAAATTTAAATAAACTTGTGTAATCACTTGTAAGTCTATTTTCCAGTTCACATTATCCATTTACCCACTGGGTAATTAGTTCTTGTATTTATTATTTTAATCGGTACCTACAAGGGTAGGCGCTTCAGACACAGTAAAGCAGCCAGGGATCGTTCTAGCCCTCTCTCACCAAGTTCAGAGTCTCGTGAAGAAGTTGGACGTGGAATAAGTGATTACAGGCACGGGCACAGCACAGAAGAAGAAACGGAAGCTGCTCGCAGGTCAGGCCGGCCAGCGTGGCCTAACTGAAAGATCTCATCAAATTCCCTGGAATCCTTCTCCTGTTGGTCTATCAGCCCAAAGGAACATGGAAACCCATCAGCCAGGTACTGATTCCGGATGAGGATCACTGCTCAGAGACTTCTCTTTACAAGTCTACTCTAGACTCTTCTGGGGGTCTTCCCCGTCTTCAGATTCTGGAGTCCACGGTGGATTTAAAAACAGAGTACTTTGGTTCTCCGAGTCTGGGAATCAGAGTATTTGAATTTCTCCTAGATGATGTCTGCAGTTACCTTTACAGCTTCTTTATCTACCTCGGGGATTGGTCACCAGATCTGAAGATCTGAACTCAGAAGCAACCCGGCACAGTGGCTCCCACGAGGTCTGTCTGCCATCTGTGGTGAAGACAGGGTCTCTGGTCAGGACAGAGTTTTAGGAAAGCGAAGGGACCTGGAACCAGCCAGCCTTGCTTGTTCTTCTCTAGTAAGTCTCCCCCGCCCCCATGTACCGCCTACGGACTGTGTTACTCCATGACTATAATGAAGTCCTGGGCCTCCCCTCTCTGCCCACCTCCAGGTTGAGGAGGTGGTGGTAAGATGAGGACGTGGCCCTGTGTGAGGGTGGCAGTAGGCTGAGAGCTCTGAGCGCTCCCTGCCAGGGGCTCCAGGAGTCAGCCAGGAGGGGTCCGCACATCCCAAGGGGAGAAGTTCCAGCAAAGAAACGGAAAGTCACAGACAGGAAGGAAATCTCTAAATGATCTGCCCTCCTCTCCCAGATAATTGACGAGGAAATGGTTTTCCTGATAAAAAAGAATCAGCCACTAAAGTAGCTACAAAAGCAGAGAGTCACATAAACCCTCAGGGGCAGGGGAGTGGCCTGAGTGAAGCAGGAGGGCCCAGGGCCAGAGGCTGGGGAGGGACCAGGCACAGCAGGCAGCAGCGTGGCTCCTGAGAGCAGAGTCCAGAGTGGGTAAGGGGCAGACCAGAAAGGCCAGTGTGCGGGGAGGCTTCGGGGAGAAACGGGAGAGAGAAGCTTGTACAGTAGCAGCACCAGGCAGGAGAAGAAGCAGGGCCTCAGGAAGAGAGCAGACCCAAGCAGAGTTGGAAGCCATGATACCATTTTAAAATGGGAGGAGCCCTGGAGGGAGAGATTGAACAGCAGGAAGTCACAAGCAGAGGCAAGGACTCAGAGCACAGGTGGAGTGGGCTTGGGGAAGGAGACCAGAGAGTGCCAGGAGCAGCAGCCACCGTGGTGAGGGGCAGACTGGGGGAGAGCCCTTCCCCAGGAAGGAGTGGAGACGTGGGGAGAAGGCCCAGGGGTCCCAAGGCCCAGGAGGGGTCTCAGTCCTGCCTCTGCCTCTCTGGGGGTCCGCTGGGAACTCTCTGAGCTTCAGGCTGGGTGCCCCCGATGTGTGGAGAAACCGGTATCATGTGACCTGTGCAGTGCGTTCTGCAGGTGCAGAGAAGGCTGCTCTGTGAGTCACTTCCAGAACTCACAAGGCCCGCGGCTGGCCAGCCAGGAGTCCCAGCTGGAGCCTACAACCCTGTCTCCTCTTCCAGAAGGAGACCCGGAGAGCCCTCTTGCTGCTTCCTGGGCATTGAAAGGTCGCCCAGAGAACCTTCAGGGATTGTCAGAGGGAAATCCCAAGCTGGATGGTGGAGGCCGCTGACTCCCCAGAGTCCCAAAGCCAGGCCAGCCCAGATGGGGATAGAGCAACCTTTTTAATGAGGTCACACCAGGGCCACCTAAGGTTACACCAAGGCCACCAGTCCTCTAAGTTCAGAATCATCAAATTCAAGAACCAGACTTCGCCCCTGACCACATGAAGAGCAAAATGAGGCCTGCCTCTGACTGAAACTGACCAGAGGGATCAAAGGACGCAGTGGAGCTAGAACCACAGTCGGGGTAGGCAGAGACTGTCTTGGATGAGACCCTCACGGGGCTTTGGCTAAATGCCAGTGTCAGCTCATGACTCTCCAGTGACAAGAGGACATCCACACCCAGCTCTGGTTATTTCAAAGGTCGTCCTTGCGTTGATCTCCAGTCTTCATGTCCTGTAACTGATAACGTTCTGGTCTGCGGATGGTCCTGGGGCCTACAGAAGTCAAGGGTCTGGGATTTGTGACACACCTTCAGCCTCTTTGAGCCCTGCCTCTTGATGTCCTTCTCCAGCTCATGAGTCTGTGGAGCTCTGCTACCAAGTCTGGCTCCCAGGTCTGAGCACAGTTCTCTGGATGTGCTCTAAGCTGTGCAGGGTGGACCAGAATGATCCCGTCCTTCATTCCAGGTACCAGGACAGCCAGCATCCATTTAGAGTTTTGAGGAAAACATCATTCTATTGATCCACACTGAACAAACTGCTCGGGAAAACCTCTATCCAACTGTGGGCAATTGATTTTGAGGACCCAAGATTAGCACCCTGAATTTATCTCTGTTAAGTTTCACCTTCTAAATCCGTGATAGGACCCCAAAAAATCAGTAGAACATACTTAATATGTGTTTCATCTATTCATTCATTCATTCATTCATTCATTCGGGTAGGCAGTTGGTCATCCAGTAAGATCCTCCTCCCAGTTTTATGTGCTCAGTAAATGTGACCAGTCTGTCCTCAGTTATATTTTTAAGCAAATCACTGAGAAGAAATGGCAGCAGTCTATCAATCACCATGAAACACCTTCCTGAAGAACAACAAACCACCATTTATTTTAATTTCTCAAATTAATTCAACAGATATGTCCTGAATGTCTACTCTGTGTCAGGTTATGATCTCCCTACAGCAGACCATGTGTTCACAGCTTGCAGCAAAGAACAAACCAGACTGCAGTGAACAAACGGCTGATCACCACAGAGGGGGAGACAGACGATCATGAGACATTTTAAAGATAAGACTAGCTGGACTGGGACTGGGATTCAGTGGCAGAGTGCTTGCCCAGCATGCACAAGACCCTGGGTTCAATCCCCAGCACTGCAATAAATAAATAAACAAACAGATAATAGCTGACATTTATCAACATTTCCTAGATGATAGGCATTGTTTTAAATGTTTTATGCTTATTCCTCACAGAACCTTAAGGGGTAATTGCTATTATTATTCCCTCTTATAGTTAAAGTGTAGTGAAGCACAGAGAAGTCCCTTGCTCAAGGTCACATGGAGCCTAATGGATGGAACAGTAGCCGAGGTACTCTTCCTCCAGAGTCTGTGTGTCAATCTGGGCTTCTACTGCATCTGTGTAAAAATGACCACTCAATTAAACACACACAAGAAGATATTCCCAGGTGGGAGAGTGATTTTTAAGTTGAGATCTGAATGACTAGAAAGAGTCACCTTGTCGAGATCTTGGGGGAGAGCGAAAGGGAGTATGGTGGGGATGGGGTCAGGGGCCGGCAGGGCCTACCACACGGGATTCACACACTGGGGTTTCAGTGGGATGTTCAACAGTCGTGAACGGCCTAACTGCTTCGGCACCGGCTCGCACATACCCATCTTGTTTACAATATGCTGCAAAGATGATGCCGTGAAGGCTGACCGATCCCCACATATGAACGAAGGACACCTGCCCCTTACCCACCAAGCTGTCCGCTTCCAGTGCTTCCGTCAGTGTGACACACACTTGCTGCCCAACCAGGACCCGGACTCCATTAAGTCTCCATCCCGCCATGTGATCTTGGCCAAGTCAGTCAGTCTGGTTCTCGGTGTCCGTTGCTCCGTGATATAACCTCTCCTGAGAACTGAAGCGCTGGGCATTGTGGGCACTCTGACCCAGGGGCCACCGCTCCCTCAGCCTTTGGACTCTCCTCCCAAGGCCCAGGTAAGCTGTGCCTACCGTCGCGTATCGGGCTTGGGCTGCTAACAGCTCCAGGGGCTGCTCTCCTCTCCCAGAAGCCCTGCTGGTTTGACCCCATCGAGTTCCACTTACCCGAGGGTTACCCAGCCCTCCCCTTAGTTACACACTCAATCAGTCCCCGAGCTCAGCACTTGTGTCTCTGGGCATCCCCTGGCTGCTTTCCGGAGGTGCCCCCAGGCCGGGCCTGGGCAAACCTCTGAAGCACTGCCCGGGTTTCTAAGCACACTCTATTTCCTTCCAGATCAGTCTCTGATGAATACTGTCCTTTGCAGTGATTCAGAGCAGGCCATTCCCTACATCTCTCCCTTACCTTGGAGTCCTGATCTCTCCTGCCTCTGTGAAATCCCGCCTCATTCCTACCAGTACCAACAGCTCCACTCCACTGGCCCTGACCTCATGCCCACTTCCTTTGCTGGTTTACCTGGGCTGTACCTCGACTTTCAAAGCACAGACCTGCCTTCTCTAAAAATCTCTGCACCACGAGGAATAACTCAAGCTTCCGGGCATTCGTAGCTGCTGAATTCTGTAAGCCCCAGATTCAAGATGCAGATTTGAGATCTGTGTTTGAGCAGACAGCGTGTTCCAGACGAGTTCCCAGTGGTCCGCCTCACCCCACCCCACCCGGCCCCACCCCGGCCGACAGCATCTTCGCCCTCAACACACAGGAATGGCCTGAGGTCGGAGGGCCCAGGGAAGTGGCAGATCTGGAATTCAATACATGGCTCTCAATTCCAAGCAAAGGAGATGCTTCCTCTACCACCGTGTGTGGCTTCAGCAACCCTACAAACCTCAAAGGTCCTGTCACCAAGTCTTATCACCAAGTGCAACCCATCCCGGATGGCGCTGGCTACCCACAGCTGCCTGAGGGACACTTGGGAGGAGCCCAGAAGAGGCTCTTTCTGGCCATAGCATGAACAGTGCCTCCCGTGATATGACCCTTTGTGTCTCAGGAAGTGCTTCACACACCTGCAAAAGCCATGGCGGCGTGGGATGCTGGAGTCCTACTTAAAAATGCAGATGGGCAGACTGATGGATCGATTGGTTGTTTTTATTTTTGGGATGCTAAGCACATGCTCTACCATTGAGCTATGCCCTAGCTCTATGCAGACTTATTATCAGAGATTAATAGACTTACCTAAAGTCACACAAATAACAAATAGTGCATATGAGATAGGACTTGACCTCAGAACTCACGACTTAATGCTTCCTGGGTTCTCAGACCTTCGTTTGGACCTTGGCTTCAGAAATCGTGCTGAGGCCCCTCCCACCTCTTTCTTCAGGTGGATTCCACAGGCCAGGTACGCAGAACCTTTTCCTTTACTGGGGAAGTGTTTGTCTTCTCTGCAGACAGCGTTAGAGGTCCCAGGTTGCTAGAGGCCGGCAGGTGGACTGGGAGGTCCAGAGCCTCAAGCCCCTTGGCCACTAGAGGGCAGCACACCGCTGGCTCCCAGAGGGATTCCCAGCAGCCCTCTGCCCAGCACTTCAGGACGCACAGCTGCGGTCCCAAGGCCGAAAATGGTACTTCCCTAGCCGGGAGCAAACCGAGCCTC